CCTTTTTCTTTTTTTTTTTTTTATAATATTATTAGCTTTTTTTCTGTGGAAAAATTCCATACGGCAAGCAGTGCCAATTTAAATTTCAAATTGTCAATAAACAAATTTTCTCTTTTTCTTTTCAATTTTCTGTTTTCTCTTTCATTTTATTCCAATTATTATTAGCATTAATTATTTCAAACCAACAAAAAAACAACAAACTTTTTGTTTGCATTGTTTATTAGCTATAATTCAATGATAGTAAATAAACAAAAGTTAAACAATAAATAAAAAAATAATAAAAGTTAGATAAATAAAAATTAAATAAATACAAAATAATTCCATCAATCCTTTTCAATTCTTTCAATTCTAATTGTTATTTAATAAAAATAATTAAAAAAACAATAGAAATAGCAAATATAATATTAAATATAAGTATAGTATTAATTAATATTAATATAAATAAACAAATCTGAGAGTGAGAAAATGGAAGTTAATTAATTATTTTACTCATTTCCAATTTTTTTTTTGCAGTTCCACGATTTTCCTTTTCTCAAAACTTTTTCAATTTATATTATATAAACAAAAATATTTTCAAAAATATAAAAATGCACTGATAGAATTTAGCATATTTGCAACATACAGAAGCAATTGATAATTAAAAGTAAAATTCACAAATTTACAAAAGTAAATTCAATAATTTATTAATCAAATTTGAAATATGTTGTAAAAATTATTTCAAATTTCTAAGTAATATAATTTCCAAATAAATTCATAATCATCGCTAACGTTTTTTTCTTTTTTTTTTCCTTTCACGAAAATAAAATAATCTGTAAAAAAAAAAATACAAACAATTGATAAAAAATTTTTAAAATAAACAAATTTAAAAAGAAAAAGAAAAAATTTTTGCTAACATTTATTACTTTTATTAAATCATAAATTAATAACAATAAATTTAAACAGTGAATACTTCGATGATATTAAATTCTTTGATAACTGACGAATTATCTGAATGAAATTTTGATGAACAGTTGCTCAATCAACTATCAAATTCTCATGAAATAATGATATCAATGTTATCATTGAAATATGTACGATAAGTCGAGAATGATAATAATAATAATAATAATAATAATAATAATAATAATAATAATAATAATAATAATAATAATAATAATAATAATAATAATAATAATAATAATAATAATAATAATAATAATGCTGAAATGAAATGATATGAAAAAGAAATGATAAATAATTGAAATGAAAATTATTCAAATTTTCAAATTGTATTAATGAATTAAATTTTAATCTAATACTAATCTATTTTCTTAACATTAGTAATTCACCAAGTAATTTCATTTATTTGGCAATGTTTAATCAATTAATTGAATAAGAATTAATTGAATATGCAAAAATTTATTTGACAAACATATTTTTGTGCAAACGATCGGAGAAAAAAAAAATTAAATCTAATTTTTTTTTTTAAATTTATAGTAAATAAATTCTATAAGAATCAAATTTAAAGAAAAAAAAGAAATGGAAAAAAATGCAATATTTAAATATAAGTATAATAAAATGTAATTTAAAAATTTCTTATGCTAATTTTTTTTTTGGTGAAAATTTGAAAGCATTTTTATGAGATTATTATAATAATTATAATTGATAAATTCATGGACAAATTCATTTAATTATAAAATAAAAGTAATAATAATAACTGTTAAAAGTCTGATGGATAATTTATCAATTTAAATCGTTTGAATTACACTGAAACATTTTCCACTTATCAGTGATATAAATTTAAAAATTAAAAATGAAAAGCGATTAATTAAATATATCTATTTTTAAATTTAAAAAAAAAAACAAAAAACAAAAAACAAAATAGTATAATTTGATGGAAGTATTTATTCAGCCATTTGCAAAATGATACGAATGAAAAATGAAATTAAAATTCATTTGTCAATCATTTAGCATCAATTCATTTATTCTTAAATTTACTTTTGCGCTTCACTTTTACAACAACAAACATTAAATTTTAAAAGATAAAAAAAAAATTAAAAAAAAAAAATTTTTTTTTCATATTTCAAAGATATAAAATTATTAAATATAGTAATGCTCAATTGACCTTAAAATTAATTGCATTCATTTTAACACTAATAAATGTTAATTGAAAATTTTTAAATTGTATCTCAAAAAAATAATTTGATTTTTTTTTTTTTTGAAATAATTATAGATTAAGTGAATTTCTAAAATAAAAAGTTTGATAATCATAAGTTTAATTTATATTTTATTGATAAATAAAAAACTAATTAAAAATCAAAATGCGAAAAGTAATTTTTCTTCTCTTCAAATTTTGATAAAGTAAATTAAATTTGTAAAAATAAAATTCTTAAGCTTTATTATATTACAACGAATTCACATTTTTTATTTTAATTTGATAATTTATTATCATTTATTGATAATATTAGCGAAAGAAAAAAAAAACTTCGCTATTAATATAAAATTAATTTTTGATAATTTGAAATTTAATAATTAAAATATCAATGTAACTTTTTTTTTTGCTACGAAATTTTTTTTCAGAAAACTTTTTGAAAAAAGTAAAAAAAAAACGCAAATTTAAAGGCAATTTATTTTGCATTTTTAAAAATACAAAAAGACTAATTATTACATTTTAAAAACTTAAAAATAATTTTATCAGATTCCATCAAAATAAATTAATTATAGCTATAAATAATCATTTTAAATTATATTTAATTTTAATATAAAAAAAAAAGAAAGAAAATTGTTAGTATTTATAAGTATAATTAATATACATTAAAACATTATATAACACTCATTATTATCTATCATTTTCATTTTTTTAAATAAATTTTTTTTAAAATTTCTAAGTCATTTTTTTTTGTTTTTAAATTAAATATTAATATAATATACAAAAAGTAAATGTAATAATAACTTATTATGAGCACTTTTTTTATCATTTTTTAATTTTAAAATACATTTTAATATAATTAAATATAATTTAAAATATAATTAAATATAATTAAAATCAAATAAAATATGAATGTATTACTAATATTAAAATAATTTAATTACTTTTTTTTCAAATTTCTTTTTCTTTTTATTTTATCTCTCTCTCTCTCTCAGTTATTACAGTTTATGTCTGTTGACAAAATAATAACGATGAGATGTAAAATGTTGTCAACAGATGTGTCAACTGTTTTGTCACCAAACAGTTATGTTCATAATGAAACAACGAAAACGATAACTCATTGTTGTTTCAGTCAGTCTAATATTAGCACAGCTAACAATTTTAGATGGATTATTTAGTTTTATTAAAATATAATATAATATCGAATATAAATAAGAAAGAAAAACAAAAAATTAAATTCAATGAAAAAATTAATTACAATAATAATTAAAATAAAAATGATTTTTAAGAAAAGATTTAATATAATTTGTTATAATTAACAAAAAAAAAAGAATTTTACAATAATTTGAAATTTGTAAAAATATTTTTTTATCAAAATTGTAAATATTGCTTCTTTCAAATTTGAAATTTTTGATTTTTCTTTTTTTTTTGAAAAAGAAATTTGAAGTATTAAAAAATTTAATTAAAAATTCTGTTTTGACTGGATTATGTTAAATTTGATTAAAATTTAAAAATTATTAGTAATAGTTCTGTTTAGTTTTTTCAAATCTTACAATACTTTCAAAATTTTGCGACAATTATTTCAAATTGAAATAATGTAAAACTAAATGAAATATTAATTTAATTATTATCATAGACAGTATATTTTGTTATTAGATTTAAAAAAAAAGTTAAGTAATTTAGTAGCTATTAGTAGATTATTAATTTAAATCGATGCTATTAGTTATTGAAAAAATTCAAATATTTAAAAAAAAAAAAAAGAAATAGATTTGAAATACAAAAGTTTCATTCGGTATTTCGGCAAAAGATTATTTTATTAATATTTCTTTAAGTAAATTAAAATATGTAACTTACTAATATAAATAGTAATGCATAGTAAGTAAATGGAAAGTAAGTAATACTTAAATTGAAAGTGAAAATTTAACTTTAACACTTGAAATTTCTTAAGATTTTTTTTTTCAAGCAAATTGCTAAATAATTTCACTTAAAATAAGTTGAACAATTTTTTTTTTTTTTTTTTTTGTTGTTTAAAATAATTAAAGTCAAATAAAAAATTTCACTTGTTGTCATATAATACTTAAATAAATAATACTTACTTAATAAAAAAAAAAACTTAAAAATTCAAATGATTCAAACAAATTGTAAAATGTAATGAAAGATTGGAGTAATTATTAATTAATTATATGTTACGAAATAATAAATTTTCAAAATAATTTTAACTCATTCGAGAATGAATTTTAACTCATTCGAGAAAACCATAAAAGTATTAGCAAATTAAAAAAATAAACTGCAATATTAATTTTATTTTTAATTTAAACAAATTCACTTAATGATAATAATAATATTAAACTTTTGTAAAATTAATCGAAAGTTTTTTTTTTTCAAAAATTACAACAATTGATTTCAATTTTAATATACAAATGTAACGATACAATAATTTACTATAATAGTAATTATAAATTCCAATTATTAAAGTTTTTTTTTTTTAATTCTATTTAAATTATATAAGTGCAGCAAAGCAATAATAATAATATAAAATAATTAATTTTAATTTAATTTTTGCATTAATCATTTAATATTACCTATTAATAAATGTTAGAAGCAGTAGCAAAAAATTTTTATTTAAACAGTTGAAGCATAAGAAATAAATTTTGCAATTGTATTTTGTTTTTTAATAAAAAAATAAAATAAAAAATAGAAACGGAAATTTAGCTAAGTGTAATGCTTATTCAGCTTGAATTCATTCTTTTTTTTTTTGAATTTAACAACATTTAGGAAAAGTTTTTAAATACTAAATCATTTCACACTTCGATCAGTTATTTTTAAAATTTCAAATCGATCATTTATTTGATCTAATCGTGATCAAGTAATCATGTCGATAGCTCATAAAATTGTAATTATTATTATTGCTCTCGCTTTTTTGGATTATATAACATCTGGTTAGCTAAATATTTCTTTTCTTTTTTTTTTTTTTATAATAAAATAATTAATTGTAAAAGAACAATTCAAAATGTTAAATAGTAAATTTTAAATTTATTAAATTTTCATTCTCAAGCAATAAAATTACTTTTTATCAAATAATCATTAATCCTTTTTGAAAAAGTTTTCTTCCTTTTTTTTTTTTTTTTTTTTATCTCTTTTAAAAATATCTATGGATAATATATTTTTAGAGATATTACTTAACTTTTGAATGCATAGTGCAACTTATAAATAAATGACATTTCTTAGTTTTATTATATTTTATTGTAAAACTTTTTTGTTGTTGTCAAAATTAAAAAAAAAAAAAAATTAAAAATTAAATTTAGATTGCATAAATGGAACATCAAAGGGATGTCCAGCTGGTACAATATGTTTTCTAAATGTGTGCTATCCATCAGGAGGCGGTATATTTATAGTAATATAAAAGAAAAAAATTAAAACTAATACTGTAAATAGAGAAATTAAATTACAAATAAAAAATATTGTCCATTTCTAATTACTCCATTTTATAATTAAAAAGGAATAATACTTAATTATATTACTTAAATACATAAACAATACATTAATATAGTATGAAACAATAATAAAATTTTTTCCACCTTAAATATAAGCGATTTAAATAAGTTGGAATAGAATTATTACTCAAAAATTCATTTTTTGTCAACTGTAAAGAAAAAAAGAAAAAAAAAAGGAGTTTTGGATGAAACGATTCATTCATCAAAATTAATTGCTTAATTAATTATTCTTAAAAAAGATTTTTGGAGTATAAGTTTAGAAAGTTTTGATTAGTTATTAAATATTAATTACAATAAATTCAAACTTTCATTTATAATCTAAATTTTTACAACGATAAGTCAAATCTTTGAAATAGTAATTTTAATTTTTGAAATTATAATTTCAATCCATGAAATGGTTTATTAGAAATTGATCATTTAACTAATCATTCCTGGCATTTCATGAAGATTTGCCCATTAGATTGTGAATTTTTAAGTGATAATTTAGACTGATAGGAAATGATAATTCAAAAGTTTGATAATATTTTTAGAAAATTGCGAAAAATTTTAATTTATTCTTTCAACTTTTTAGCTTGCTCTAACGGAGCTTGTGATGCTGCATTTATATGTGTAAATGTCACATGCTTAAATATTAATGCACCTATACCTTCGGCCACTACAACTGGAAGTAAATTAATTTATTTTATTAAAAAATAAAATTTTGTTTACAAAAATGCAATTTTCATCGAAAGTAAACAAAGTTAAAATTGAAATATCAAATGCTAATTGATTAATGCATACTTTTTCATAAATTTCATTTTTTTTTTATACATATAAAGCCTAAATTTTTATTTAAAATTTTTTTTATCTTTTGAAATTCTCAAATTTTATAAATGCTGAAAAATTATTGATAGTTTTAATTGTTAGTTCGCTAACAAACACCAAATTAATATTATGTTGTTTTTGTTTTTGTTTTTGTTTTCTTTTTTTTTATTCTTTTTCATCCACAATTCACTTTCTTTTTGTTGACTTCAATTTTGTTTTTGAAATGTTTTATTGCTAAATGAATACATTTGTAGATCACATATTTTCCATTTGAAATGATAAAATAGATATTTTGAAAATTTAAATTTAAAATAGAAAACATTTTAGGCATTTTGAAGCATTGCTACTTTTATTTTGAGTAAACAATGTTGAACTTTTTTTTAGCATATATATTACTAATTATTAAAAATTCTTATTTTTTGTTGAAATTCAAAAATTAAGCATTCATTAAATTTATTGCTACTCAAACAAAACTAACAACACTTTAGCAGTAACAACAACAACAGCTACAACAACAACAACAACAACAACAACAACAACAACGAGGGCAACAACAACAACAATCGCATGTGTGGATCGTAATGCAGCAGGTCGACCCAGTGATTGCCCAAGATTGAAATATTTATGCGACAATCCCTTATATTACAACTTAATGACACAACAATGCCCATTTACGTGTAATCGTTGTACGGGTAGCAATTCTAACCCAGCATCAGCAAATCAAGGTACTTTCATGCTTATCATTTATCATAAAACCCATTGTACGGGTAGCAATTCTAACCCAGCATCAGCAAATCAAGGTACTTTCATGCTTATCATTTATCATAAAACCCATTGTACGGGTAGCAATTCTAACCCAGCATCAGCAAATCAAGGTACTTTCATGCTTATCATTTATCATAAAACCCATTGTACGGGTAGCAATTCTAACCCAGCATCAGCAAATCAAGGTACTTTCATGCTTATCATTTATCATAAAACCCATTGTACGGGTAGCAATTCTAACCCAGCATCAGCAAATCAAGGTACTTTCATGCTTATCATTTATCATAAAACCCATTGTACGGGTAGCAATTCTAACCCAGCATCAGCAAATCAAGGTACTTTCATGCTTATCATTTATCATAAAACCCATTGTACGGGTAGCAATTCTAACCCAGCATCAGCAAATCAAGGTACTTTCATGCTTATCATTTATCATAAAACCCATTGTACGGGTAGCAATTCTAACCCAGCATCAGCAAATCAAGGTACTTTCATGCTTATCATTTATCATAAAACCCATTGTATGGGTAGCAATTCTAACCCAGCATCAGCAAATCAAGGTACTTTCATGCTTATCATTTATCATAAAAATAGTAAAGGATGATAATATAGAAAAAATGCAAAAGAATAAATAGTATTTATCAAATTGTAAAATAACGTAATTCTATAGAAAATTTAGCATTTATTTTTGATGAAAGTAATTTGCTAATAAAATTTAAAAGAAATCAATTAAAATGTTAGATGGGAAAATATTAACTACAAGAGAATACTGAATGGAAATGATTGAAAAATTAAATGACAAAAGTTAATCACGAAATTAATTAAATAAGAGAAAAAGAAAGATCAAATAATAATTAAAATATATTTGTTGTTGCTATTAATATTTTATTATAATTATATTTGTTTTAATCTTAAATTATTGATTACTTGCTAGAAATTAAATTTATTTAAATAAATAACTAAAGTAATTTTTAGCTTGTTTTGATCGAACTGGAGCAGATGGTACTTCAAATTGCGCCTCTGTTGCATATTTATGCCAAAATGGCTTATATCGTGAACTTATGAAGAATCAATGTCCAAAAACTTGCAAATACTGTTAAATAATTGTAATAAAATTATCGAGAAATTATTCATTTATTATTTTATAAGTAAAATATTCAATATATTAATATATTATATTGATTTTATGATAAAATAAAATTATTTTACTGTATGCGTTGCATTCCATACATATTATAAGATAAGGAAGGACTGAAAGAAATGATAGATCTAAGATTGATATACAATAAACAAATGAGAAAGCTATTGAATTAAAACAGAATTCATATTGAAACAAAATTCAATTTAAATGTCCCAAATCATAGTATGAACAACTCCGAAGATTTTTAAATCAATAAAAAAAATTCAAAGCTCTAAATTAAAACAGAGATAAATTTAAAAGATTTATCTTGGTAGGTAATGTGATTAAAATATTCTATAAGAAATATTTTCAGTATGTTTTATGATATTAAATTAGCCCTAATAATAATAAATAACAATAATGATAGTAATAACAATAATAATAAATAATAATAAATGATAATAATGATAATAATAATAATAATAATAATAATAATAATGATAATAATAATAATAATAATAATAATTACAATTATATATACAGAATTATTGGAATGATAACCAATATGTTTATATTTTTGAATAATAAAGGAGAAAGATAACCTTTTGTTTTTGCATGACCTTATGAAATTGACCCTTAGAGATGTAATATGTGTACATGCGAAAGTAATGGTCAATACAAAAGGAAATGAATGTGACCGACAAAAAAATTGTAGTGAGATAATGGATGGCTATTTATGTTTGATTCTTTGGTCAACATTAGTTATTGTTTGTTTGTTTCTTTCCTTTGTTTATTATATAAGAACTTTGGTTATTTCTGGTATTTGTTATAATCGGATTTTTCTTCTTATCAGTGATTCATTGTTTGTTTATTATGATTTTAGAGATATTAATTAAAGTATTTATGTATGTTTATTTGTTTGCTTTTTTTTAGTGGACCGTTTATGAAAAAAAAAACAAAAACAAAAACAAAAACAAAAAACAATGATTAGTTATGAAAAATTTTCGTAGAGCCAAACAAATTTATTTTTATCTTACGGAATACTCTCAAACAGTAAAAAATCGCCACGTACGTGATAAATTAGCATAGTAATGTTACAATAAGTTGAAACATTTTATTCTAAACTTTTTTTTTTTTACTTATTTACTGATTGTTCTAAACAATTTTAATAATAATAGTTAGTGATTTTACTACGGCAAAGGTTTGATAGAATGATGCAATATTGATAACTTTTATCGAATAAGCAATTAATCAATTAATTAATTGTTAATTTATCAATTAAAAAGAAAAATTAGTCTCTTAGTTTTATCAAAAATGTTTTGTTGTTGTTTTGTTTTGTTTTTTCAAGTGTGTTATACAAATTTATGTTTCACAAAATTGTCGAACTTTTATTCAAAAAAAAAAAAAAAAAATGATTTTAGATACAAATGGATGCTATAGAAAAAAATTTAAGACTTGGCACTGAATTAAATAAGAAATATGCCTTATTCAGAAATGTTTAATGAAAAAAGAAGTGTTTCTTATTCTGAAATGTTTATTGCCTCTGAAAGTAATATAAATTGTGATAGTACCGAGTGTCACTTAAATTTCAAAGGAATTAACATTGATGAAAGTCGTATGCCTGTGTCACTACGTGGAAAGCAATGGATAATTGAGAAAGCAATCGGTGAAGGTAAATTATACTTCAATATTTTTGATCTTAAAAAACAACGACAATTTTTTATTTTCCTATAACTAATCCATAGTAATCTAATCCTACCGTATAACTTACAGTATGTCGGACGTACAGAATTACAGTATGCTCGATCTACAGTATAAGTTATATGTGCAACTTCGCAGCAATTTATACATCCAATTTGCAGTTTATATGTGCAATCTATAGTATAAGCAATAATGCATATAAAATATGTGAAAAACGAAATGAAAATAATATTTTATAAGGAAATGATAACATTGTCAGAGAGTAATAAATTTAATTTAAATTTAATGAAATTAGCAATTTAAGAGATTAGTTTATTTGATGCGAATAATCCATTGAAAATGTATGATTATGCAAGTTAATATCTTTCTGTACGTTTATTTTTTTTTTTTTTTGTTTATTTGTTTATTTTCTACAGGAACTAATTTTAAAACATACATTGCAACAAGTAATGACGGTGAAATATTTGCAATTCGGAGAAATCGTAAACAAGATCAAAGTACCGAAGTTTATGAGAATGATGCGAAAGCTCAAGAAGAAATTGCTGATATTATGCAATTGCAAGTGGAATTGGTAATTTAATATTTGATAAATCAGCAAAATAAATTTTTGAACATAATTTAATTCATTTAGTATTCTATTATTTATTGTTTTTATTTTCCTAATTAACAATTTAATTTGATTAAGATTTAATTAAGCGAATAATTTGAATAAATATGTAAAATAATGTTTGAAATAAAAAGTCAGAAATTATTTAGGATTTAGAAATGATGGAACTTATCGGTAAACACCTAAATATTACCTCATTAATTGGTTTTCGCCAGGTAGGTCTGTGTTGGGAGCAATTTATGGAATATGTCGATGGTGGATGTCTTTTTAATTATATCAATGAAAATTACACAAAACGTAAGACTATTGCTATACTATTCAGATTTTTTAATTTAATAAAGTTTAATTGATAATTTAAAAAAATTTTTTTTAAATGTGACTTTGATATTTCAAATATAATTTTAACGTGTAAATGATGCAAATTTATTTTAAATTATAGAAAATCGATTGTTGGAAGTTGAAAAAGCGCAATCATTTTTTAATGATTTATTAAGTGCAGTGGAACATATTCATAGTTTAAAAATTGCACATATGGATATCAAACCTGAGAATTGTCTTATTACAAAAAGTGGTATAATTTAAAATTAAAAAAGCCTAAAGGTATAACTTACGGTTTTTTATAAGCTTTTTGAAAAAAAAAAACTTAAAATAATATTATATCCATTTTAAATTGTTTGTAATTAAATATTAAAAATGATGTTTTAATATATTTTTCAATATTTTTGTTGAAATTTTTATTGCAATTAATTAATTTTGTAGGAATTGTAAAATTAACAGATTTCGATGAAGCAAGATATTTTATACCTAATCTTGATTTACCATATCCGGTATATTTCACTGCATCATATGCTGCACCGGAAACATTCATGAAACGATATCGGTATGTTCTATTAATTGATGTAAATAAATTAAAGCAATTCTAGTTTAATTAATTATTTAGACGAAAAAAAAAGAAAAATGGAAACTTTTAATTATTTTTAAAATTTCAAATACACTTAGTAAATATTAATTTCTAACTTCTGATTTTTATATTTACTATTATCCACCTATTGTTATGCGAATAAATTATTTGAAATTTATTATATTACAGGCCAAATTGTGCAGATATTTGGGCATGCGGTATCTTTTTATATTTTTTGTTGCAAGGATGTCTTCCATGGAGTATTGCAAATGGGTAAATTTTTTTTGTTTTTGTTTTTAACTAATTTAATATTAATTAAATATGAAAAAACAGCATAATTTATCGATTTGTTAATTACAAAAAACAAAAAAGAAATTTCTTTTTTTTTTTGCAACTAAAATAATTTTTAAAAAAAAAAATTGGTTATTTTGTAGTAAAAAAGATGTTGTTTACCGGAAATGGTCAAGGATGCAGGATAATGATAAAAGATTGCTGTTAACATTTCCGGAATGCTATGGATGTGTTTCAGGTGAATTAATTAATAAACTTTGAATGGATGCAATTATTTGGAATTAATATTTATTGCGAATTTTAATTTTAAATTTAAGCTATTCGAATTACAAAGTTCAAATTTATTTAGTTCTGATTTACAAGAACTAATTTATTCAAAAAAAAAAAAGATAAAAAAAGTGCCAGTAGTTTTTTTTAAATTCAAATCTCTGTAGGAAAAAAAAGTGAAAATAATTGACGCAAATTTTTTTTGTCATTTCAGTAATTGAAAATTATTTATAATGACAATGTGCATCTGAAAAAAAAAATTAAAACTAATTTATTTATCTTTTTTTAGCTAAAATTATTCATAAAAATGAAAGTATTCTTTTTGCAGATCTTTTAATCAAAATTTTAAATGTGAAAGTTGAAAAACGAGCTACGCTGGAAGAAATACGAATGCATGAATGGTTAAAAAATTCGACAAAACGTTAAATAATTGTTTAAAAAAAAAAATTTAAAAATTAAATTTTATTTAAACTTTTTTAAAGTGAACATAAGATGAACAGAAGAAAGAAAAATTTAATTAGAAAATATTTGATAATAATTTTGTATTAATAATTGTGATTATAATATTCGTTTGCTGCAATTTTTCATCTCTGTTTTTTTTTCTTTTGTTTTGTTCGTTTTCTCATTTTGTTTGTTTACTTTCTTTGTTTATTTTTTTTTTTTTAAATTTGTTTTCAAAAGCTTTATTTATTCTAAAATAATTATTTCATTCACTATCTTTACTGATTTTCCATTTCCTATATTTGTTATTTATTCATAATTCGTTCTCTTTTTTCATTGCATTACTAGAAAGAATGAATGGATTACTGATAAAAGATGATAAATTCATTATTTCGATTATGATTTTCTCCTTTTTTCTTGCATAATATTAAAGATTAATTAAATGCTATAATGATAACAATGTTAAACTTTATCAGTAATGAATATATTTGGAAAATTATTTTATGTAAGCAACAATTTATCCGTTCATTTTGTTGAAATTTGGTATGAATTGTAAATAATTTGAGTAATTATAATAAAATAAATATAACATATGAAAGCGTCTAGCAATAAAAAATAATCATAACAATATATTTTTTTTTTAATAATATATTTTTAATAATATATTTTTTAATAATATAAAAAAATAATATATTTTTTAAGAAAACTGTACGAAGATGCTTGTACGAATAAAAAAAAGATAATATTTTGTTAATCAAAGTTTAGTTTACACTTGTTAATCTAATTTTAACTCATCTACCCGGGTTTATCTGAAGTTAAGTTTGTCTCAAATAGTTGTAAAGATTATTTCATATCATTATATTAAGATTAAGCATTACAAAATGTTTTTATTAAATTATGCTCAAAACAACTGAATAAATAATATTACATAAGAAAAAAAGTAGAAATAAAAATTATTGAAAATTATTTTAAGATACAATTTTGATAAATAAACATTGGTTAATATTATATGAATACATTTTAGGCAACAAAAGGTCTAAGAAAAATTTGATTACTTTGTAAAAGTCATTTCTTTAGTTTGGATGAAAATTAATTAATTAATTAATTGAAATCAATAGTGATATCCACTACATTCTTATCAATATTATCAATAAAACAACAATAGCAGCAATTTGAAGGCCAAAGAAAAAACAAATCAGCAAATTAACTTTTGTTATGCATAAGCTAAAATTGAAATAATGAAATTAGCTAAAAAAAAAAAAAATTGTAAAATAATGTTGAAATTTAATTTTGACAAAAATTTGCATAAATATAAACATGACTGTATGCAAATAATTTGTTGTTATTATTATTTTGTCTAAAGTATGAATGTGTATTGTTTTATTTGAAATGGTATTTTTAATTCGAATATTTCATTAGTCTATTTAATTTATTATTATATTTTTTTAAAATTTACACAGAAATTTTATGATTTTTTTTTTTTCAATTCTCTTTATTAACAATTTATAAGTAATCTTAATTTTCTTTTATAAAATATTTATAAAAAAAAAAGAAAATATTTTTAAAGAAAAAAAAAATTTTTTAAAAAATTGTTTGTAAAATATAATTTTTTTTTCCTTTTTTTTATGAAATAAGTTCACAAAAAAGGAAAAATTTCTTAAAATTTTATAATAAAAAATTTTTTCTTTCAAGCATTTCTTCCAAAATTTTGAAGAATTTTTGAAGAAAAAATTTTTCGTCTAATTTCATATACGTTGATAAATTTGTTGAAAAATTTTGTTTACTTTAGAAAATTTTATAAATTATCAGCAGCAGTTAACTGATAACAATAAGTGATAAATCAATTCATCATTGGAAGTGATAAAAATGCAACGATTGAATTCAATAAATGATAGAAATGAAAAACAACAACGACGACAACGATCACAAATTGGAAGTCAATTACCTGAAGAATTTTATGATTACCTTGATCAGCGAAGTTAGAATGTTTTCCGTTTTAATTAATTGAAATTTTAATTTGTAATATTAAAATTACTAACAAATATTTGCTAGTATGAATGAATCGAAAATTTGCTGTTAGATTTAATACTAAGATTAGGTGACATACACACAAAAAATGCAAATTTGATTTATGATAAAAGATCAAAAGGAGTGATAATCTTGGTCATTTTCCGGATCAGTAAACCCTACAAGACCGGACGATCGGAAACCAGATTGAGAGTATTTGATAAACAGATTGATTGCAAGAAAATAATGTTGCAATAGAGAACGTATTCTAGAAGAGATTTAGAGATTAACACAAAAATTTAAGATGATACTACATTATGCATTAGTGATGACAAAATAGTATGTAATAAACTGCAAAGATGTTGAAAAATAGCATTTGTTAAGATTGCATTAGTAGAAGAAGTGAAAAAAAGACTATCGAAAAATACAATCATTCTATTGAAGCAAACAATTAAGAGTAAAAAGAAGGAGAATGTGATGAATGGAGAAGAAGCAGAGATAAAAAAGGTTTATAACAATGAAATGAGAGAGGCGAAAAGAGAAAAACAACTATAAACATAACATTACACTGAAAGTTGAGAGAGAGCAGGAAAGAAATTTTCATTTTCTAATAAATTCTTTTTTTCTCCATGGAAGCAGATAAAAAAAGTAAATATCATGAGTGTAATGAAAAGGGAGAGAGTTAGAAGAGAGAGCGGAAAACACTCAGAGGAAATGTTTTTTGTTTTTTTTCGTCTGAATGATGGATGTATCGAATAAGCGAATTGAAGTATTGGGAATTTTATTGGACTAGAAATTATGTGTCAACAATAATGTCTTATTGTCTACACAATGTCTTATTGTTCATGTAATGTCTTATTGTACTGGATCATATCAATTAAGTGAGTAAAAATGATTGCTATTGTACTTTTTTTCTTCGTTTGAATTTTTTAAAATATTTCATATTCAGTAATGTAATCGTTTCTTTTTTCTTTCATTTTAGATTTGATACGTAACGATCGTTTCCTGAAACGTTTCGGTAAACGATTATTCAGTGTTTTTCGACGACCATTATTAAGACGTAATCGATCAAACGTTACATTATTCGATTCAGAGATTGATTCAAATTTCTCATTAGCAACTGTAACACCTAAACGTGCATTCTCATTGCTCAGTCAACGAACATTGTTATCAAGAAAGGTTTTAAAATTTTGATGGCTTTTTTTTTTATTAAACTTAAATGCTAATTGTTAATCTTATTATTAATTAAAATTAATCAATTGTTGGACGGAATGATTTAGTAAATTGTTTGGTTTTGATAAAGAAATCATTCTTAATTGAGAATGATCGTTTAATTTGAATTATTTACTGCATAGTTGCATATTGTTTAGGATGTACTATGTAAAATATTCGTCACTGAATGAAGAAAAAATAGAATAAGTTATTATCAAAAAGATTACATGATATATTTGAAATTAGCAATTATGTTAATTACTCAAATAATATGATAGACGAACTTCGGTAGTGGCTAATTAGAGATGTAGGTTGTTTAGATTACAATAGTTTTATGCTAATCCTGTCTCATTTATAATTGTGATCGAGGTGAATAGATTACACTGCATATTATCAATGAATGATTCATAATGAATTGAAGTAATTAATGGAAAGATCCAAGATATCTAGCAATTACTATACTCATATCCCATCTATGTGTGATTTTTTCTTTTGTGAGATTTTATAGATTTGGAGGAATTTTTAAATAATTAAGTTCTTCTTTTTTAGAGCAATCGAAACGGAGAAAATTTTTACATGGAAGGTTTGAAATTGACTAATAAATTGCGTTCGGAGAAAGTAAGCTTTTAGTACGTTGTAATTGTAATCTTTTCACATGATGATACATGATGAGGTACAGAGAATAGAAGAAGAAAAAGAAAGTGTATAATAAAATAAAATTGTTTATTTCCTGTTGTTAGCAACGCTTTTGTCTTAATTATAGTGTTTTAGCTTGATGCAAATGGTGATAGTATATTATTGAATGGTGAAGAGACAATAATAATAAAATTAGAGAAAGAAAATGGTGGTATGTTTGACTTTCTTTTGAATGTCTTTATTTTATTTTTCTATTGCTAACAATTTATTTGATTGTAATATTTGTCACTTTTGATATTATTTGATGTACTTTTGATATTATCATAACTTATAATGCCGATTGTAGTCCTATTGAGAATGATATAAATTTACCACTTACATATATAGCATCAATACATAGGTTTGTAGGTTTGATATATATATTATATATATTTGATATGAGTGTTTCTTTATTCTTATTTCATAAAAACAGCTTTGATAATTTGAGAAATCATAGAATTTGGTTTCAACATTGTTGGCGGTATCGATCAGGAATATATTCCGGGTGATTCTGGCATATTCATTTCAAGAATTCAAAATGGTGGTTCAGCTGCGCGTGATAAAAGACTAAAGATCGGTGATCGTATCATTTCGGTAATTTCTAAACTTAACAATGAGAAAATTTCTCATTAATTTCTTGATTTTAAAATTGACGACATGACATTTTGCAGGTAAATGGTATACTACTTGCTGATAAAACACATAATGATGCTGTACAGATTTTGCAAAATACTAAGAGTTCTGCAGTGCTCATGATTGAACAGAATGCTGAGTCACGAATTTTGAATGTAAGTTTTTTTCTAATCTTAACAATTTCTTATGGTTGCAAATTTCTAGTCCTGATAAATTTCTAGTCTTAAACCTGACTATGCTACTTTTATCATATTTCTTCTCCTGCATTTGTCAATATTTCGTCGTTTAATTCTTTCACGAAAATTTCTGTAATATAAAGATAGTCGATTGGAGTCTGCAAAAGACCAGTTTTATTGATAAGTTGACATCATCATTAAAGAAAATTGTTGACAACTATTTGTTTTTAATTTTCATGCAATTTAAGTTTATTATATTTTAATTGATGCTTCAAAAATGTTTCAAATTATTTGTCATTCTCACCGATTTATTCTCAGTTATTACAGCCATGCTTAAGCTTTTATATTTTGTCATTATAGCTAAAATCAATTTACACTCTCTTGCATTAGTAAGATGGGAACATATAAGACTTTTTCTTGAGTTCTTTTTGTTCTTAAAGCGTCGTGAAATTTAGCTATGGTATTTCCATTCCCTTTTTTTTTCTTTTTTGTGAAATTTAGACTTAATTCTAAAAATGTGTGCATATTTTCTGAATTACTCCATTATAGTTTTAGCGTTTTTTTTTTTTTTTTTTTTTTTTTTGTTGTTGCAGATATATGTACTTTTCGGTTGAATTGCCAAAATTATTTTTAAGCTCTTTTTTTTTGTAATCAAAATATTTGAAGCCATTTATGCTTTTCCAATTGATTTTTAATGCATTAGAAATTAATTTAATTATTATAAAAAATTCAAAAATGTTATTTGCTATTTTCATTTATACATAAAGGAAGATTAAAATATGGAAATGTAGAAATGTAATAATGTAAATTCATATTGTACGCTAGTAAAATTACACATCTTTTTCAGTTCAATTGGCATAAAAGTTTGCCTTTTGAAATATTATGACAAATAAATGAGTATTTGTTATAAAATGCGGAAATCATCTGACAGAATTGGTAAATAAAAGATGTCATCCAAATGAATTCATTTCAAAGAGCAAAGAAGAGAGAATTAAGAGTTCACTTTCATTCTTTAACTACTTGTCTGCTTCCATTACTTAAAGCTTTAGATATGTTAATTTTTTTTGAAATATTTTTGAGTAACCTAAAATTTTTATGGGGCTTAATTTACGTATACTTCGTTTTGCCTTTCATTTTTCTTCTTCACACTGTTTTGTGTAATCAAACATCAGCTGTTAGAGAGAGGTTAGGAAAAGTTGTTGATCATAGTTATTGTTTGCTATTGATTTTCAACAGTCGACAGCTAACTGCTAAGTTTTTCCATAGTTCAGAACATTAAATTTTAGATAATTAATTCATGAAAACAATTTTTCAATAATCTTAGAATATTCAAAAATAAGGCTAAGCCTCTTTTTATGCTTCATAATTCTTTCATTTGTTTATAAGACAGTTATATCGGATTTAATCAGAAATTTGTTAATCATTTAATTTGATTATGTTGTGACGTAATAGCTTGAAATTATCGGAGATTTAGATTAATACTTGGAAATAAATAATATAATTTGAAGCTATCTGAGCTTTCTTTACATTCTTAATAGAAAAGTCAGCAACTAGTATTAGAGTACCAAGGAGAAAAGTTCGGATGAATAGAACTTATTCGGCCTTGTAAGTATATCTAATTTTATCTTTTACTTATGATTATGATTGTGATCATTATCCGATCCTTACGAAAGCAATTAAACTCTCTCCAAAACTTTAATTTTTTTCTGAGGATTTGCTGAAGAATTTTAATTTGTCTTCTGAAGGTTTGAGATTTGAAACTACTAAAGTTTCGGCTAATTTTTTATAACTTGTCTCAACGTTTTTATGGTTGTACTTTTTTTTCCTGATTTATTTCATCCTTGTTTTTTTATTTGATTTCAGCTACATCTCATTTAGTTGTAACTTTTAATTAATATAAATCTTTTTTCTTAGTGGTTCATTCCAATTTTTAGATAGTTGCTACGGCCATCAATTAATTTAATATCGATTTTTAAACCTTTATCGCATTCTGCCCCTTGGTTTATTGATTTTTGTTTCTAACTCTCTATTGAAGTGCTATGTTTTCGACCTTTAATGGTTTATTGAAGATTCTAAATCATAAGAAAGTAGTAGATTATACATTTTATTTTTGTTTTTTGTCATATTTTTTTTTTTTATTTTTTTTTTTTTAATTTTTTTTATTTTTTAATTTAATTTTTTTTTTTAATTTTAGAAACCAACAGAACTTTCGGGTGTTTCAAGTTCAGACGAAAGTACGTTATCGTTGAAAAGTGAACAAAGGAGTTTACCTTCCAACCAATTTTCAATTATGTCGTCCAAGTCCATGAATACGTACATGTCGCAAATTGTGCCAGAATCAGCTGGAATAGACGAGACGAAAAACTCATTGTCATCATCTAACGAAGGTAATTAAACATTTCAAACTTCACTTTTAGGATTAAAATCGAAGTTGAGTTTCCGTTTTTTTTTTTTTTGTGATATAGTTAATCCATTCTATGTAGTTAATACCTCAGTCAATTTTTTTTTTCATCGATTTTTTCCACTTTTGGTTCCAAATAACAAAAGACTGTTTGGTAATGTTCTGTTTTTAGTGGTATATTTGGCATCAAATTCAACAGATAATTATCCTGATGACAAAGACATGACGAAAAATGATGCAGAAAACCAAAATGAAATTTCAGTGGAACATAAACAAATGTTGGATACTGGTTCAGTTACAACGGTGTCACTACTTACACGTCAGTTCTTATTTTTGAGTTACTTGTAAATTCCAAAATATTTATGGTTTTATGAAGCTTTACATTCCATTACTTTAAATTTTCCTACATTTAAGTTTTAATTTTATACTTATCATCTGTTATCAAATTATGACTAAGAGATCTTTTTTTTTTTTTTCTAAAAAAATTCTGAGTTGCATGCTTTATCTTTGAAATCGAGTCACCGAACTATTTTCATCTCTTGCCATGTGTTACGCAGACCACTATTTGGGTATTTTCGATATCTTTTTTTTAAGTGTAATTTTTTTAATGTAATTTTAAGCTGCTTACCTTTAGTACAACTTTATATTTGTTGATAGCCTTACTTTTAGTCATAAACTGATAATACGTTAAGATTAACTAGATTTTTTTTTGAAATTAATATTTAATTTTAATCTATTTTCTTTTTTATTTTCAGCATTAAATAATGAAACAGCAAAGACGATCGATGAAAGAAGCAATGGACTCATTTCACTGAGTAATAATGATGATGATTATGATTATGAAGATGAAAGTGCGTTAACATCGTGTGGTCATTCAAGTTCTGTTATAGATGACGTTCCAGTCACACCTAAAAGGCCGTACAGATTGCTAGATCCATCAAAGTAAGTATTACTTTTAATTCATAAAAAAAAAAGAAATACTTTTTTTCATTGTGCAAGTCTGGAAAGCAATGTTTGTAGGAGTGAAAATCGACAAGTAAACTTACAAATGAATTGTCTATGTGAAATTCTAAAATTATATACACGAAGTAATAATTTGGTTCCAACTTATATTTCTGTAATCTCAAACATATGTCTCTCTTTTTCTTTAATTGCTATTTAAATTATAATTTTAGCCCGTCTATATTCAACGAAGTGCTAGCTGTTACGGTTGGTATTGCAGCACTGGGAGCTGGCATATATGTAGTGTACAAATTTATTGCTCATCGATCTTCTCCGTGAACCTTTTATTTTACCTTGTAATAATGTAATCAACAATTTTTCATATTTTCGAATCGCATTTATATGGCATAATTCATCTTCAGCAAATTAATATGCATAGAGAAGATCAGGTATATTTCGTCAGGTGAATACTTTGCTCAATCGCAGTCATAATTATGCTTATATCATGAGGTTAAATCACGATTTAATGGTTGAAATCGAAAAAAAAAAAAAAACATACGTGGACAGAATTTTTATCTTCCATTTTTCAACATCTAGAGCAACGGAAATCCTATAAAATCTGTATTTTTTTAAAGAAAAAAAAAACTACAATACTTAATTCGATGGTGCAAAACTATATACGTTTTTGATGTCTGCTTGCTCAGTTATTTGAATTCGTATTCGGGTCTTTGCTTTTTTTTTTTTTTTTGTTGTCTTTCTTCATTCATATATAAAATTTTGACGAAGTTTCATTGATCCGTTTTGAAAGTTAGATTTAAATATGGTAACTGTAAATGTAAATTTCCAGTTGGTATTTACTTTTTCTTTTTCCTCCAACTTTTTTTGTATTCTATTTAAATTTGCCCAGTATTAGTTAAAAAAAATTAGCTTTTAATTATGGATTTCTGCTAATTGTATGATTTTATTAAGATTGTATTAAAATTTTTGATTCTTTTTTTATGGTGCTTATTTGTGTGAGAAATTTTGAAAATCGGAAATTTTTGCGGTAGTTATTTGAGTGCTTTATGCATTTTATTATTTGTATTGAATAAATTGTAGTAATTGCTGGTGTAGCTATCATTTGTTTAGTCCAATAGGTTTTATATTCTTCCAATTTTTAACATATATAAATTCATGCTAGTAAAGTTATTACATTCTTCTTTTTTTTTTCTGAAGTTTTAATCAAACGAAAAATTAGAACAACAAATGAGCTGTATAGCATTAAAATTATGAAACATTAATTAAGGTAGACCTACTGGCAGAATCTTTTGCAAATTTTCAAGAATAACTTTATGTTTGAAAATTAATTACTGAAATTTTTTTTTTTTTGAATTTTTTTAAATACTGGGGAAAATGAAATACAAGGAAAATATTAATTGGGATGTCTACATTTTGTGCATTTACATCTTCCAACACTTTTTCAGAAATAGATCAACTCATCAGAATTCACATGCGATGAAATTTAGCATTAATAATATTAATGAGAGGATACTGTTTGAAATATTTGTTATTACAAATTCGAAATATCAGTGGCAAACAATTAATCGTTCCAAAAATGATTGCTGAACCTATCGTACCGATTGTTCAAAAAATTGATACGCCTCAATTTAAGGCACTTTTCACACCTGAACTTATTAAACTTAATGATCTATTCAAGAAGAATGATTTTCAATTGCGGTATGTATTAATTGCAGTTGAAACTATCATATTATTATAACAGTAGTAGTAGTAGTAGTAATCGTAGTGTAATAATTCAAGAAGAATAATTTTCCACATTCTAAAATATTTCACATTTATATTATATCTACTTTATGCTTTAAATCATTGTCTTTTTGTTGACAGGAAAAAAGAGAGAAAGTTCAGTTTTAGTTATATGCACGATTAGTTCAGATATCTATGCTAGCATTTTATTGCATTTGTATTCAGTAGCTTATAAAATTTATAATAATAGGAGTTTATTTGAGTAATAAATAAATATTTGTATCAGTGAAAAAGATGTTTGGTAGGAACTAATTTTATACGCTAAGAAAAAGCATATAATATGTAATTTTAGTGATTTTAATTTCTTTTTTTTGGTATTTTAAGATTTTGTATTGCATCTTTTCTTTTTATTTTTATCTCTTTCTTTTTTTTTTTTACAGTATGGCTGGTGGTGCAGTTCGAGATCTTTTAATGGGCATAAAACCATCTGATATTGATTTTGCTACAAATGCAACGCCAGAAAAAATGAAGGTCAATTTGTCAGTAATTATGAATAACAATAAAATTGTCAGTAATGCTAATTTTGAAAAAATGATTGGATTATCAGCGATGTTAAATAAGGACGATTAGATTTTTGATGTATTATTTATGCGGTAGTTCTGTGAAATGGAACTTTGAATAATGGAACTAAGAATGGGACTTTATAGGATCAATGTAAATAGAGAATGGAAAATTTTGAAATTAAGAATTAGTGATGTATGAGAAATTTAAGTTAAAAATCATACAGAATTTTGTCATGTATTTACATCGACCTATTTTATTAACTGATAATGTTTTTATTGAAATAATTTAATTTCAGGAGTTATTTCTTCGCGAAGGTATCCGAATGTTGAATAAAAATGGTGAAGAACATGGGACGATTACTTGTCGTATTGACGATAAGGAAAATTTTGAAATTACAACTTTAAGGCATGTTAATTTTTGTTACATTATTCATTTTGAACAGTGATGAGAGTAATTGTAATGTAAATATGCTTGAGGATTCATGCTATAAATTTTCACAACTATTTTATTTAAAAAAAAATTTTGTCTCTCTCATATTCTGATCGTTTTATGGATTCTTGATTTAGAATCAAGTACCATACTTATTTCAGGATTGATACTGTTTGTGATGGACGTCGAGCAAAGATTGAATTCACAACTAATTGGCAGCTAGATGCAAATAGACGTGACTTGACGGTTAATTCACTTTTCCTAGGTAAGTGAATTGTTTTATTTATTTAAGGGACATTTTCCTACAATGCGAACTTGTTTCTAAAAAAATTTCCTTTAAGTTTCTCTTATTAATTTTCCATTAGTTAAAAATTATTCATTTTTTAAATTTTCAATTGCAATATAGCGTGTCTTTTTTTTAAGATTTGGATGGCACCGTTATTGATTATTTCGGTGGAATAAAAGATTTAGAAGAACGGAAAATTGTTTTTGTAGGCGATGCAAATCAAAGGATTCAGGTTTTTTTTGCAGTCTTCAAATTGGCTTGACTCGTTTTTCTCTGTCTTCTTTACAACTTTTGTGTCAAATCTTTAGTGCAAACTATTCATTCACTAGATCATCTCATAATAAATGATGACTGTTTCTAGGAAGACTATTTGAGGATATTACGATATTTCCGTTTTTATGGTCGATTAGCCATAGATGGTGAAATGCACGACAAAGCAACACTGGATGCTATCATTTCGAATAGAAATGGCCTGAAAGTCAGTTTATTGCTTTTAATAGATATTCTGTCGATCTTGTTAAAATGGTCATGTGAAAAAAAAAAAAAATCAGGAAGAAAAATAGAGAATTTGTGAAAATTTGAATTTAATTATGATATTTTTTTTCAAATACATTATTCATCATTTCATATGTATTATTTTGTAGTACCAACTTATAGATGGAAATTATTGCTGAATTCTTCGTTATTTCTAGCAATGAACGGTCACATTTATTAATTACTTTTCTTAATAATTTCCATTTATAGCTAGTACTGCGAAATACTGCAGAAGAAATTTTGATGGAATTAATAATGATTTTTTTTTTCTAGGATATAAGTGGTGAACGAATTTGGATGGAATTAAAGAAAATATGCGTTGGTCGGTTGGGTGGCGCAGTATTAACAACGATGCTAAAGCGATGTAACTTAGCTTCCTTGTTGGGACTTCCGGAAAAAGCGGATACAGTTTACTTTTGCAAATTGCATAAGCGTTATTATCCAAAAATAGAAGCAATGACATTATTATCATCATTATTTACTGAAATGGGACAAATTGAAATATTTCACAGGAGGTGGTTATTCATTTTCTAGATTAACTTGATTTTTTTTTAAAAAAGTGCAAAAAACATTTTAGGATAAGTTAATCACTAAAATTAAATTTATCAATAAATTCAATGCAATAATTAAAATTTAGTCTAAACTGGGTAAAATCTACTCATCCTTCGATTAATTGACAAAATTGAAATATCAATACCTATGCATAACATATAGCAGTATTATCTGTATAATTTTAACCACTTCTTTTTATGGAGTACTTTATTAAGTTACCGAATTTACGTGTAGTTGTAAATTCGTTCTAACTTAATCAATCTAATAAATTTTATAATTTACATATATTTTAATTCAGTTCACAATAATATATGTGACTGAAAAGTCTTCGTCTTCTTTTCTTCTCTTATTGACTTGACCAAAGTATTATCATCATGAAAAAAAGTAAAATTTAATAATTTGTCAACAAAACAAATTTTACAGCAGATGCATATTTCGTTTAGATGTAAGTTATCTTATGCTGAGAAAACGCTAACCGAATTTATTGTGGAACATCGCGATGAGGCAGAGAAGAATGTCAATTCAATTTTATTTTTCAAAAATATTTTGTTGATTGAAGAACGATTGCACAAGTTTACAAGTGATTTTTTCTTTTTCCTTTATTCTGAGATTTATGATTTTTAAGATAAGTTACATATGGATGTTTCTATGGTTGACATTGAGTTAATGAATAAGACGAATATGAATGGATTTTCATTTTAATTCCAGGAAAAAAAATTCAAACAAGTCGAGAGAAAGTAATTGAATTGGCAAAATATGCAATGGTTAATGATGAGCTGATCAATGAATTGAGTATTTGGGAAATGCCAACATTTCCAATTGGTGGGATTGACTTGATGCATAACAATATTTCACCTGGACCACATGTTAAGCAAATTCTTGACTATCTTTTCCAAATATGGATTGAAGTATGTTTGATTTTTATTTTCTATTGTGTCAGATATTTTAGTCTTAATAAATCATATTTACATTAAGTATTTTTGGATATAATGAATTGATTAATACTAAAAATTTTATACTTGATGAAAATAATTAAAACGGAGTACAAATTAATTCTTTCAAATTTCTTCCTTTAATTTGTCAGCATGTTTGGTTGTATTTTTAATTTGTATTTTATGATATTTATCTGAATGAAATAGAAGTCATCTCGAAGTTGCATACGAATGATACAAATTTGTTATAGAGTGAATGGATGATAAGTAAAGAAGAATTGTTAAAGCATATCAATGATATTGAATGGACTGATAAGAAAAACCGCGTAGGATGTAAACGAAAGCTTAACTCTGACGCTAAATGATATTATATTTGAGAGGAAGAAAAAAAAAATATGTAAAAATATCCTGTTTCGTTCCTTTTTTGTTCCCTGTATCATTTTGTGTATTGAACGTTTCTCTTTGTTTTTCATGCTCATAATTTTGATAAAGATAATTGCATTATTCTTTTGCATTTCATTGTCATGTTAAAAATGAAATTTTTAGGTGAAAAGGAAAAATAAGAACACTTTTCTCGAAATTTTGTTTTATTTTCTAGTAAAATGCAGATTTATTACCCATATGATGCTGGAGAAATATGAAATGACTATGTTTACTGATTTAAATGTAAGACAGTTATTGGAGGAAAATAGAGCATTAAATTTAGGACATATTCATATGTGGAAGTTTCCTTTTCAAAATGAAAAGAGGTTGAATTTAAAATTTCCTACTAATGTTAGGTAAAGATTTACGCATGATGTCTTCTATATATCATTAAATAAATGGTTGTGGATATTAATTGGTATTAAATTGCAACTAATTTAGAATCAAAAAAGATGAAGTGTGTGTTGGGAAAGTTTCTGTCTTTTATAATAAATTTGTTGGTAACTAATCTCGACTTTTTTTTTAATCACAAAGAAACGAGTACAGTAAATAGGAAACATGATTTTACGAGTATTACCAAATGTCAATATGAACAAATCACAGCAAATTCCGAATCCAAAAGTAATAAAACATTTTTTTTTTTTTTTTGGTGAAAGTAATTTTGAGAAAGTCTTAGAAGCCTTCTCCCAAAAACCTTATCGTTAAAGACTATTATAAGAACAGGCCTAATGGAACGCTTTCGCATTTTTCTTTTTTGTCCGCAAACTTCTCGCTAAGAATGACATTCAGCTACAAATTTCCCATCTTCTTTTTTTCCACTGTCAGAAGCATATCTGAGTGAAATTAATTCCCTTCCACAAATAAGACCGTTTATCAATTCGTCAACTCTCCAGTTAAAAATACTTGAATAGGTAAGGAACCGGTAGGTAATAGCTACATACATACTACAAAAACACGAAGACTGAAACAAAATATAGTGAAAGATTGAAAAATGATTAGAAGTCAGAAAAAAAAAGACCGATAAGTTGTATATTTTTACATGAATGTCACTTCAGTCGGACTGCCCAGCTGTTGCTGCATATTTCCGTAACTTCTGCAACATCCGTTCATTTGTTGAAGGTTTGATAGCTTTCATTGCAATCTCAAAATCACGTAGTGTTATCGGCCGAAGTTCCGTACTGACTAAATTTTTTATATCCTTACGTGATAGGTCACGAATTGGCACCATCGCAGCTTCACGACAAAGAGCAACCAAGTCCGAATTGGAGTATCCATGCGTCCATTCTGCAAGGATTCTGAAAATCCGGCACCACTTACAGGACTGATTTAACAAAATTTGGTATTTATGACACTTGTAATGTAGCAGTGTCTGTTAACTAACTTAGTAATTCTACAATTCTGATAAAACTTTTCTTTCAAAGATGGTAAGCAAATAACGAGTTTAATTACTTCATTATATGCTGCCCATCATATTATTGCATCATTAAAATTTATGATAAATAAATATACAAATAAAAAATCGCTTATACATTATAGAAAAAGTTTTCAGTGCTTTAGCAAAAATCTACTCCTAACATCCTTTATCAACTAGAGGGATCAAGTTGTAAATGATTAAAATTGCTTTCGAGATATGAAAAGAGTATAGTTTAGAACTTTCACTGAAAATGACGCAGTAATAGGCAAAAGTAGGAGTTAATTGAATGCAAAACTAACTTCATATAATGGAAGTAACAAGCTATTTTATTTAAAACCTAATTTTGGGGACTTACTGCCTTTGTGCAAGACCGAGATCAAATGAAGTTTTCGTTTTCTCGAGCAATGACATGATTAGTTTAAGGCGTGCTGCTGCATTTGGTACATCAATGAGAATTCGTTTTGGAAATCGGCGTAGAATGGCTGAATCGAGCTCTTCAGGGCGATTTGTTGCACCAATCACCAGTAAACGATCATCTTTTGACGATAACATACCATCCATTTGAATTAGAAATTCCGTTTTCATACGTCTTGAAACCTGAAATGGAAAGGGATTTCAAAAGTTCAGGGTAAAGTTATTCTGAATCCAATATGACAAAAACTAAATTTAGATTGACGTATATAAAACTTATAATTATTACAGAAATATGTTGAACAAACCTCAGTTTCCTTCTCATTACGTTCACACAAAATGGAGTCAATTTCATCGATGAATATGATTGTTGGTTGCCCATTACGAGCAATTTGAAATAAAGCGCGAACAATTTTTTCAGCATCACCAACCCATTTTGAAGTTAGTGAAGCTGCTGAAACATTCAGGAACATCATTGAACCACATTCTCCAGCTACAGCACGAGCCTAAAATTCGAAAGCATATCTAATCTAAAAAAAATTCAGAAAATCCAAATATATAGCTCGACATTATAATTTATAATGAAAAATGTAACATGTGTAGATTGATAGAATATATCTACAATTTTTAAATTTTAGGCAAAAATAAATTAAAAACTGTGTTCAGAATAAATATACCAGTAATGTTTTGCCGTTTCCTGGCGGACCAAATAGTAAAATTCCCTGCGCAGGTTGACGAAGACCAGAAAATAAGGATGGATTAACAGTCGGTAAAATAACTGTTTCTTCCAGGGCACGTTTGGCTGCTTCAGCGCCTATAATGTCGCTCATCTTTACGTCATCTTGATTCAAAATTTCATTTAGCAGCGGACCACCAAATTTGTCATCAACGCCTTTTAGGAGATTGCTCCGAGTACGAGCATTCTGGAAAGTGGAGCAAAATTTCAATGAAGCAAGGTTCCTTATTGATTTAAGCATTTCAAATCACTGAATGGTGCGATACTAACAAAAAAAAAAAAAAAAAAACCATATGAAGCTGAAAAAATGGAAGAATACGCCACAAAATTTTTTGAATAAAAAGTGAAAACTATCGTACACAAAAGATTTTCATATTTTATATTTCCAAATAGTTTTTGGTAATTTTATTTATCTGCTTCTCGCCTTGTAAAAAAAAGCATTCTATATACAACAAATATCTAGTGTAACATTAATTTTATCACTTGTTCCTTGTTTACTCTTTCCTTCGTTTTGATAAAATTTGAGAAGTACTCTTCCTATTATATCAGGCTGTACCTTTCTTATTAAACTGTAATTACTCATCTCAATTTCTACAAATTTTTCTCAAACAAATCTCCAAATTCTCCAAAAATATGAATAACTCACTGAATAATTGATGTTTTTCTTTTCGGAGCTGATTGGCCTACTGGGTAGTTGGGCAGTTTGTGGTTTACTAATTGAAGGTGACACAAACTGAACAGGTCTATGCTGTAGATTCCGATTTCCTTTCGATGGGAACATTTTTTCTGAATGAAAAAAAAAATAAATTTTTGATTATGAACAGAATTAAATGGTTACAGTGAAAAACACCAAATAAATTTTATATGCACTAAACTATTTAAACAACAAAAGGATAGAAAAAAAATCATTCAACACCATCGCTTAGGGAGCCCTCATTTGACAAGCAAATAACCTATATTAAAATTAAAAAAGAAAATCGGCACAGAATTATTTAAAACTCATAAACATAGGCATTAATTGTTATAAATGATAATCACAACTTTAAGCTTACCCAGATCACTAAGTCTTCCCTTTGTTGCTTCTAAATTTCGTTTCATTGCTTCACGATGCGTTATAACTTCGCTTCGTTTCTCAGGATATACTTTATCTGGTGATATTTTCAAAGCTTTCTCAAAATACTCAATACCTATACGGTATTTTTCCATTGCTATCCGCTTCCTCTGTTCGTCTGAAAAATGAATTAAAATTGGATTTACTCCACTCAGAACATTTGAATATAATCGATTTATCGAATCAATAATAAAATGTGTACAAAATAATCCTTTTGCATATAAAAAGGTGTAAAAATTTCAAATTCAAGACCTAGTTATTTTATACTTGTATAAAATAAGCAAAAATAACTTCTAAATCTGATCTCTTGTTTATTTCTTGGTTAAACAATACTATGTTGACACTTTGATCACTGTTTTATTTGTCGGTGCTTACACACAAAAATGATTAACCCATTCACAGACAAGGTATAGTAGTGGTAAAAAGTTTACTTTCAAAAAAAAAAAAAAATTGAAAACAAATATGTGTGTAAATTTATTACCGTTATTACTTGATATTTCATCTATTGAAACACCTTCTGTTACAAGTTGTTTTGATTTAAGATATGCCTTATTGAACGTCTCGTAATTTTGTTGCTCCAATTTTTGAGGATGAAGCATTCTTTCTAAAACAATAAGACTAATTAAAAAACAGTTTTCTCACAAAAAAAGAAAAAAGCATGTCAAGTAGATTTGGAAAATATTATTGCAAAATGCTTCTTTTTTAAAAGAAATCATTTACACTTTAAATGAGCAACTTTCACATTTCTAAAAAAGAAAAAAGCTTCCAGAAATTATGAAAAAGATATTTGGAGAAAAAAAGAGCAGAATGCAATAATGATAAATCGTTAAATTCACAAGGACTGAAAACGCTCTTTGTGTAGAAATCAAATTTTTTTTTCTTTTTTGCCAGAAATACAAATTATGATTTATTCATTTCATTTTTATGCTGTTCAGTTTTACAAATCTATAATAATAATAATAATTCATATTAAAATATTTCTTCATCAACCACACTACCAAATGATAGTACATTTGACATTAATGAATCAAGCTGACTTTTCAATAACACCTCACGCCTTAAAAAATTTTTTTATCTTCTTAATCTTTTAACACTTTATCCACTTGAGTAATTTTTCATTGAATTAAGTTTTTGAAAAGGGGAAAGGGAAATATTAAATACTGCCAAATTAAAGATTTATTAATAGGGCCGTAATTTGTGTAACTTGCATTAGAAGTGAAGTAATGTCCAATTTTGAATTGCACCTACCATTAGCTGTAAACAAGCATTGAAAATAATCGATAATAATGCAAGTACTTTTCAATTTAGATGGAAAGAGCAGCTATTCATGGTAACAAATATACTGCAACCGTTTTCCACGGTAATAAATGACACAAGTAACTTTTTTTCTTTTGTTCACAATATTTCAACAAGTTTCATTTAGGAAATTTTAAAAAATTTCTTATAAAAAACATTTCAAAATTTACCATCAAAGATAAAATAATTTTTTGCTTCAATCCAATAATCATTTAATGGATAGTTGATAGGCATAGAAGTGGAATTATGATAATAAAATATCATGTAAATTCAGTAAATTTTTTGAAGACTATAAATGTCATTACTTTAGCTGCAAGAAAAAATCTTTATATAATTGTTATAATTTAATACATTTACTACATAATATACTCATCAGTCGGCTTACAATCCTTTTTTTTTTCTTGAAACATTTAATCCTACTTTTAGCTTTTATTTTCAAGGGAAAAGATTGAGAAATAAGGCAGCTATACTTTACTTAACTTGCATTTTTCAACTTTGCATTTTTTTTTCAAATTATATAATAGCAAGTTTTTCAGATAATAAATAGCAAAAAAAAAAAAGAAACATGACGTTGTGAGTAATGGAATTATCTAATGACAACAATACAAAAAACAAAATATATCCTCTTAGCTTCAATAAAATGCTTTAATGCTATACAAGTTTCCAAAAGATAAGTGATTATTAGATTTGCTTTATCAATAGTTTTTTGCATTTATCAATCATAAATAAAGAATGAATTCTTCATTTATGATGGAATTTTGCAAGTTTTTACTGATATGACAAAAAAAAAAATGTAATCCTCCAACAGAATGAGTTATCCCACAAAGAAAATGGAATAATTCAAATTGGAAATTTCCTAATTACTCATTCACTGGAAATTTCTCAATTATCTATTATGTGCAGGTTATTTTGTACCTTAAACTTACTTAACAATGCCAATAACACGATAAAAACCAGAAATATAGACGGTATCACCAAGCGTAACAAAAATCGGAAATGTCGTACCGCTAATAACACGGCACAGAAATGCACACTTTATGCTGCAAAGAATACAACAAAACCGAAAATGTAATATTTTACTAAGGATAAAGCAAATCTATAATACGAAATTAACTTAAATACAATGAAAAATATAAAATAAATGTAAGAACTTACTTTTCATATTAGCATCAACAACATCAAATGCTTTTCGTTTTCCAAGATTTATGCTTTTATCATTCATATTTTCCAAAGCTGCTAAACAAATAAATCAAGCTAATTTAAAAAGACAAAAACAAAGTGAACTGTAATTAACCATCGAATAATTTAGCTCTGAGTAATTTTGAGTAAATGAATAAATAATGTATTAAAATGACTCATCAAGCGTTAAATAATCAATATGACGTGACATAAAACGTGTTACAAATTTCTAAATCCATCGATCAAGTTAAATTATTCCGAGCCAAAGTTCTAAACCAACCGATTAGGTCGAAGATAACAGGCAATTTCATTCATTTAAGAACTCGCAAAACGTTGCATCATGTTGCATAGAGTATTTCTGCAACGTAATTTCCGGAAAGTGGAAATATACTTTGTCACTAACCGGTTTGCATACCTTTTTTTTCTCTCTCACTAGTACAACCTCTTCTTTCCATTCCGTTTATGATTAATTTCCAAATATCATAATGATATTTCCGGACAAAAACAAAAAACAGGAAAAAAAAATTGTGCGTAGCGTTGAGACGCATAATATTTTGTTACTGCTGATTGATTCTCGAATTGATTTCTCATTTAATTTTTGCATTTATTGATTTTAATTTCCGGATTATCAAATATTGTATAAAATGCAAAGAAGAGACAATTAGATAATTCTCTTTATATTACAATGATAATGAAAATTAAAAATAAACAGAAATGATTAGTAATAGGAAGGCACGGATGTAAATATTTTTAATAGCACCACAATTATAATATATAAAATTGAGTGTTTTGTTTTGCTTTCCACAACATGAATTTAAATTTAAATTAAATCTAAATCTGAATTTAAATCTTAACACAATAAACAAATGTATCTCAGCTAATTAATTAATTAGCCAGTAGATGTAGTTTTTACTTAATAATAATTACAAACAATTACAATCCAAATCATAACATAAACCATTGTCAATTTTTGGCTGATATTATTGAAAATTCGAAAGGATTAAAAAAATTATAATAATAACTGCCATCCCTTTAACAAATAACATTACAAAATGAAATTACATTTCATCGACCAAAATATCATCACAAAAAGGCAAAAAATAAATGAATAAAATGACGATAAAATGAATATTAATAAAAGAAGAAGATTTTGTTGTTATTTTGTTTGTTTTTAAAATTTTACACGACAAATAAAACAGTTATATGTTATTGCATACAATAATGTTTTTTATTACAAATACAACAAAATAATGATTATTAAATGACTAGTTCATAGGCATAAATATATGAACTAAATATTAATATTCTATCATTAATTAAATTATTATACCGTCTACTTGCATCACTATTTTACTGTTACAATAACACAATAATAGCAATGATAGCAATAGATTCAACGTTGCTATCAATTAGAATAAACGATATAGAAAATGATAAAATATTCTTTATTATTATTACTATTATTGTCGTTAAATTATTTGTTGACATAATATATTACTCATGCAATCGTATTATTTACAAAGTAAGTAATAATAATAATAATAATAATAATAATAATAAGGCACGTAAAAATAGCAATAATTTGAGCTGCAACCATTTATACTTTTCCACCCAATTGATAAGTTTGTCGAAACAAAAATATAATTCTACTTATCAAAGTAAAATCATAATTTCTTCTTTTAAGAATGAAACGATAAATTTTGATTTTCAAAATGAAATCATAATTCCTACCCAATAAGACACAATTATTCTTTGTTTTTCATAAAATACAATTCATAAATTTCTGATCAATAACCACCAATAAGGATGGAAAAATGAAAAATAAAGAAACAAAACAAAAACAAAAAAAGACATGCAAAACGATAATGCATCTGTTAATTAATGCTTTTCCCATTATTGAGTTGTTACTATCAAGAAAATCTATAGAATGATAACAAATGATAACGAATGATATAACTTGATACATCACTTATGAACTGGTATGTTGAAAGTAATATTCATTTGCTTCAGGTGGAAGTTTCCATCCGCTTGCTCCCAATTCCATTAATAAAAGTATCATTTTACGTGCCCATGGTTCTTGTACCTATCCATACAACATAATTATATGAAATGTAAAATTACTGAATTAATATGAAGAATATTGATTAAAAATTTATCTCTGATATAAATATCATCTTATCATAAATCATCATAAACCGTATAACAAGTGGCATTACTTTCAATAATTGTGTTAATTTATTAAAAAAAAAAAAAAATCTCAAATTAAACATTTTTAAAATTATTGTTCCTATTAATTATAATTTCTTGTGATAATTATAGAAAATTATATTAATGAATTAAGAATTAAACAAGCATTATGATAATATATCAGTGAATAAAATCTAAAAATATACCTCAATAAAAGCATCTCGGATGAGATCTTTCAAGATGGCCAATTGTTCAGGACATTGTCGTTCAAGGTCATAGCCAACACTGAGCAAACAACCAATTAAACTTTCCAACTATAACAGCAAAACACATTAAATTATAAAATTAATTCTGTACAGAATTTTTTTCAAATTTTACTTCTTCTTTTGATCGATTTCATTTACGATTATAATTAAACTTTTTTTTTAAATAATTTTAAAGGAAAAAATTTGATGCAAACAACAAATTTATATTTAACATATATTTATCTAAATTATAACCTTTTGAAATTATATATTCCGTTTTTATTTCCTATAAACTTTTTCCATATGAAATAACATATTATTAATTATACATTTAAAAAGTAAATTTGCTTTTTAGGCTTTTTAGAATTTTTACCTCACTCTGAAATTTAAACCAGCAATTTTCAACTTTATTTGCTCAAATTTCTACATTTAATTGTTACAAAATTGTATTTGCAAGAAGCAAACAAATTAAATAATAAAAATTGAAAAATGGAAAATATTTTTATTTTGCAAAATTTCTCCAAATTTCTTCAATTTCTGCATTTGTATATTGTTTCATTTTATTTTCGTCAACTTTTCCTCCAACTTTTTCCTCTTACGTTCAGCATCATATTTGAATTGCTTTTTTGATAAAAATCTTTCCAGATTAAAAATTTTGATTTTTTAATGAAATTTTTAGAAATGAAATTCTAACTATTATAAAGTATTACAGAAGAGTTTTTCTTTTCTTTAAAAAAAAGATTATTATTAACCTCTTCAATTTTTAATGTGTCAAGAATAGGTGCTTTGAGCAAATAGCCAAAAATATGAAAAACAAGATCGACAAGTTCTCCTGCAATAACTATAGCTAAAATATTGAAGTGACTCGAATAAAAAAAAAAAAAAGAATGACTTGGATTTTAATTAAATTTAATTTTAAACTTTCAGTTCTATGCATTGTAATTTGAAGCAAATGTAAAAAAAAATGACATAATTCATCTAATTATCTAATTAAATGATATTGTATTATTTTAAGTTTTAATTTCAATTTTTTCTTTGCATAAAATATAATTTAAAATCTTTTCAATAAAGAAATAATAAAACTGATACATCAATAATTACATTAATGTTAGCTATTCAATAAGAAAAGTGTAATTTTTAACAAAAATAAAAGTTCTTCCATTTATAATAATTTATTTTAATAATTTCATAAATTTTTATAGCTCAAACTAACAACAAATTACCATTTCAATTTTTTCATTTAATTAATTTACTTCTTCGAATAAAAAAAAAAAAAGAATAACAATAGTATATGCACAATATTTGTAATTTATTTCATTTCCTTTTCCTTTTTCACCTAAATTTAATTTAAATTCTGAAAATAAATTTAGGTAAAATAAATAAATAAAAAAAAAAAATGAAAAACCTTCATAAATGTAGCCAACACTAGCATATAAATCGGAAACAAAATTGAGGAAAGTAATCCAAACCCGAAAATGATCGATACGTAAACGATCCCTGCATTCAAAATAGTGCATTAATGCAACTGTAATACCCTGAAAAAAATATTTTAACAATGGTAATGGAAAATTTAATTTCATTTTTATAATAAACAAATTATAATTTTGTAAGAAAAAAAAAACAAGGAAGTACATACATTTCTAATATTATTTTAACTTTTTTAAATTTTATGAGAAATAAAATTTATAAGATACTATTATTATTAAATACGAATATTTGTGTTTGAATTCAAAAACATTTGAATAAATTTAATTGATTGGATAAATAATAACAATCAGCCGAAATAAGAAAGAAAAAAAAAAAAACAAATTCACAAAATCGGAAATAATATTTTTGATATTTAAAATAAATTTTATTTATTTATTTATTTATTTCCTTATTTATTTATTTATTTATTTATTTATTTATTCACTTATTTATTTATTTACTTATTTATTTATTTATTTATTCCCTTATTTATTTATTCATTTATTTATTTATTTATTTATTTATTGCTTATTTATTTATTTATTTATTTATTCGCTTATTTATTTATTTATTTATTTATTTATTTATTTATGTAACCTGATGAAAAACGTTTGCGGTATCAAAATTGAGGAGTTGTGCAGCGATACGTGCGACAGCTTTACCGGCCTGTCGATTCTCTTCAATAGAGAAATGCACGAGCATTTGTCCTACCGCACCACCTATTTCACCATCTTCAAAATTACCTTAAAAAGAGAGAGAGAGAAAAAAATAAATAAACAAACAAAAGGGAATAAAAATCAAAAGATTAAAACTTTTATATGTTAATATGAGCTAATTAATTAATTAAAATGAAGAAAATAAAGGAAAATCAAATAGTAATATAAATACGAATTTTAATTCTTAAATTCTTCTAATACGATGGCATGGATAATTTATTCAATCACAACATTCACATTTCAAAATTTTACGATCTCTATGCGTGTTTTCTATGACGTAAAGCAATTTATCTACTGTCTAGTACACGTATATACGTTATATTCACGTATTTCATATTACTATTTTTGCCATTTTGTGATGTTTTTAAAAAAAAAAAATTGAATTTAATATTTGTAAAATGGAATAATTAATGTGACAATATATCACATATTTATAATACTGAAATTGACAATACTTTAATTACATTTATTATTTACAAAATTAAAATGACAAAATTGAATAAAATAAATTATTAAGTATGAATATATCAAATCGAAAACTCCACCAATATTAAAATTCAAATTGCTTCGACAAATTTATTATTTGTCAAATAAAAAAAAAAAAAAAGAAATAAAGAAAGGGAATAATAGTATAAAAAGATATATTTTTTTTAAAAAAAAATGTGATTAAAAAATATATCAAATTATTGACATTAAAAAATAATCAAATTTATATAGAAAAAATGATAATTAAATAAAAAATATCTTATTTTTATCTTATTTTCAATTAGAACTACTAATTATGCAAAAAGTCTTAATTATACTTACTTATATGTTGATTTTAATTGATAAACGAATCATTTGTTTAAGAAATTAAATTAAATCAAACTAATAACTAAAGAGAGAGAAATAAAAAACAGAAAATTCTTACTTGTAATAAATTGTTCCACAAGAGTATTTTCTTTTGTTAAATTCAATTTTCTTAAGCCAATCGCAAGTTCCTCAATTTCTTTTCCATTTAATTGTTTTTTCTTATTAGCATTTTGTTGTTGTTGTTGTTGTTCTTTACAAATGATAATAGATTTACGTGATGATATATTATTAAATCCATTATCAGGATTCCCTCCACCACCTCCTCCTCCCCCTCCCCCTCCCTCTCTCCCTCCTCCTCCTTCTCCTCCTTCTGTTGCTATTGTCATTCCATGTTTCATATCACCACCACTGATACCACTGATACCAATTACACCCGCTGATTCATCCATTCGAAGTAATGACGATGATGAATTTGTTGTGCCATTATTATTATTATCACTATTATTATCGTTACTGTTATTATTATCATCATTATTATTATTATTGTTACTACCACTACCACTACCACTAGATTTTTTCAAATGTTGCTTAATAGTAGCTCCTTCAGATTGATGATGTTGTTGTTGTTGTTGTTGGCGGTGGTGGTGGTGATGGTGATTATAATGATACTGTAATTGTTGTTGTTGTTGTTGTTGATGATGTTGATGATGATGATGATTAGGAGGACTATTTTCACTTAGATGAAGATGTCGACTTGATGTTGAATTGGGTGATTTCGTTGATGCCTGCATATTATAAATAGCAATAAAATGCAAAAAGATAATACAAAAATTATTGATTAGTTTTATTTTTCTCCTTTATTTAATAAATTAATTTTAATAACTATAATTTCTTAAGTATTACATAATTATAAGTTTTATAATTTTAATTTCATTATACAATTATAAAATAATTTAATTTCAGTCGTAAAACTTTGTGATAATCAAATAATAATTCCATTTAAAAAATTCATTTTTATCATTTCATTAAAAATGAGACAAAATTGTTATCAGTTGTATATATGTGGGAAGAAACAAAGATTAAACTGGTAACAATAATAATGCGCGAAAAGGTGTATGATAACGATGAAGTTAGTGATAACTACAATGATAGTGATGCGAATGTTGATTATGGTGATAATGATAATAATATTGATCACAACGACAATGATAGTGATACTAATGCTAATGATGACGATGATAAAGACAATGCAAATAGGTTAATAAATCATAACTTAACCGTCTATTTTTGATTATCATATCAAAATTTTAAACTGCATAATATTATCAAGCATTTATCTGTTATCAGTTTCTTTTTTATCATACAATATTATCAAAACTTTTTTTGGTCTCTAAGAAAAGTATGTATGTTAAATAAAATTCAAATATACTTAAGTGAAATATATTACTTAAGTGAGCTTATGATAATGAAGTAATTTCAGTTTCTTTATGTTAGCCCAAATTTAGAACAAAAAAAATGTTTTCTCGGAATAATTCAGAAAACTAATAAATTGGTAGAGAATTTCTCCTTTTTCTTTAAATTTTAGAAAAGAAATATGATTCATTGACTGATTTGAAAATTACAATTCACTGATTGATATGAAAATGAACAATGATAGAAACATATGAAATATTTGTTCGATGATATTTGGACTAATATGAATTTGAGAAACTATTCCATTACATGTATAATATGAAAAATTTCTTTAATCTTTTTTTTTTTTTTTAAATTAAACAACAAAATTTAAAAGCAATTTTTAAAAATTTCAATCAATAACTTATCATAATTAAATAATGAATTAATTAAGCAAGAAAAAAATGACAATAATAAAATGCTAAATGTCACATGAGAGAATAATATTTCATTCTGTAGAATTTATTAATTTCTTGCATATCTCATTCAAATCATTCACTGAATTCATTTTTTAAATTTTATTCTATCGTATAAATTCCAGCGATATTTCACAGCAATTATATTAAATTCAAATTCATAGTTATCAGTTAATTGTGCTATTGATCGAAATATATTTTAGAATAATTTAAGCACTTATAAAATATTTAAAGCTTGTCAAATTGTCCGATTAAAATAGCAGAAAGTGATTGATGATTATATTGAATAGAGGATGGATTAAATGACAAATATTTTGTTGAAAGTTTGGAAAAGTGCGAAAGTTTTTTCTTTTTTCTTTTTTCAATTTTTTGTCATCAAATCGACATTTTAAAATAGAAACTTTGAGCATTAAAAAATTTAAAAAAAAAACAACAAATAATAGAAAATTTTGCAAATGATATTGGCAATTGGAGAATGAATGATAAATGGAATAAAATGTATGTGTGTATGTGTATGTATGTATGTGTGTGTGTGTGTGTGTGTATGTGTGTGTGTGCTATAAGTAAGGTGTTTAAACAAATATAAAGCGCAAATATTTCATTAGGATATTCCTGACTAAAGTAAAGTAAAGATAGTTTGAGGTGATAAAAGAGTTGATAAGCTACTTTTGAAATACAAATAATTTAACAATTGGCAAATTTTATGGTGGCGTATAAAAAGTGTTTTCTTTGCGGTGTAATTTCAAATTAAAACTTTTTTTTCTTAAATTTAGATTAACTTTTATAATTTACACCAGAATTTAATTTTCTAAAATTTCAATGCTTTTATGATTTATTTATCAAATATGATATGATTATAAATATTAGTTGGTTGTTAAACTTTAAATTATAAACTGATATGCACTGATAACAACTGAAATGATTCAAATCAGTAATCTATAATACGTTTTTTTTTTTTTTTTCTTGATAATATATGACAAATTGTACAACGGAGCTAATGTAAATTGAATAAATACAAGATATCAGTTTTAAATTTTAATTTTTCTAAAATGATTAATTCTACGGATGATTAATTATGTCTAATCTTATCTTCTGATTGCTTTTTTTTTTTTTTGGTAAATTTGGAATTTTTAAAACTTAATATTTATATCAAATCAGCCAAATATTATTAATAAACCACATTTTATAAAAGGTATGTTAATAAATAAATGAAAACATTAATGAATAAATGAATTAATAAATTTATAAATTGAAAAAAAAAAGATAAAGAAGAATCATTGTTGAATAATAATAGTAATAATAATAAGAAGAAGAAGAGAAAAAAATTATAATTTTTTATTTTATTTATAATAAATCAAAAAAAAAAAAATTATAATCAAAGAAAAAGATATTTAGTGATAAAAACAATTCAAATCATTTATGATTAATAAATAAATAATTGTCATTTCATTTTTATAAACTAATCGATAAAAGCTAATTAATTATAAAAGAAAGTAAAAAAAAAAAACTTCATAACTTATCACTACTGACTGATAACTTACCTGTGACGATGCTATCGATTCACCACTTAAAGCGCTATCACTACGTTGTAGTGATATCACCGTTTGCGCTCCTCCTGTAATCGCTATATCGTTTAAGAAATTATTGTTATCAGTACTTTTGCGCGTACATCCATTCAATGTATTCGCACATTTGCCTGATTCCATTGTATTATAATTATTATTTTCTGCAAAATATTGATTTAAATTGTAATAATAATAAAATAATGATTATAGTTGTGCTTTTAAGTTATTATTATTATGATTATAGTTATGCTTTTTAATTATTATTATTATGATTATAGTTGCGCTTTTATAATTATTATTATGATTATAGTTATGCTCTTTTAATTATTATTATTATGATTATAGTTATGCTTTTTAATTATTATTATGATTATAGTTATGCTTTTTAATTATTATTATTATGATTATAGTTGCGCTTTTTTAATTATTATTATGATTATAGTTATGCTATTATTAGTTATGCTTTTTAATTATTATTATGATTATAGTTATGCTTTTTAATTATTATTATTATGATTATAGTTATGCTTTTTAATTATTATTATGATTATAGTTATGCTAATTATTATTATGATTATAGTTATGCTTTTTAATTATTATTATTATGATTATAGTTATGCTTTTTAATTATTATTATGATTATAGTTATGCTTTTTAATTATTATTATGATTATAGTTATGCTTTTTTAATTATTATTATGATTATAGTTATGCTTTTTAATTATTATTATTATGATTATAGTTATGCTTTTTAATTATTATTATTATGATTATAGTTATGCTCTTTTAATTATTATTATGATTATAATTAGTATGGTAAGATAATTAATTATGCAATATTTTGTTAAATAAATGATAATATTTCATTTTTTATCAAAAATATAATTCAGCAATATATTTACAACAATGTTAGCAAATTGTTGAATAGAATTAATGAAAGAAATTATTGACTTAATTTATTATCTTTTCTCTTTTCATTTCGTTTCTTTTCTTTTTCACAAAGATTTTTTCTTTTTTGTTTCACTCTTTCGCCCTCTCTCTCTCTCTTTTCTCTTTTCTCTTTAGTAACAAAAATTTTGTTTCATTTATTTAAATTTAACAATTAATATATCACTGATTGTTAACTTATTTATCAAATAAAATATTAAAGTATTAATGATTTTTTGAAATTTTGCTACAAAATAGTTATCTGAAAGAATGCAATAATTGATTAATTAATTCATTTAATTTATAATTAATAATTGAGAATAGTGATAACGATAAATATACTGATAACAATGATTAGATAACTAGTAATAGTGGTCGAAACAAAATATATTTTTGAATAATTTTATTTTTATGATATCATCGAAAAAAGAAGAGAATATTCAATACAAAATATAAGTAACAATATTAGTAAGTATAAATGAAGTATAAGTAAATATTAATACGAATATAAAATACAATGAAATAATTAAAGTTATTTGATTATTGTTCCAGGAAAAAAAAAAGTTTAATTTTCGATAATAATTAATTTCAGCAATGAATGCTACAAATTTGTTGATCAAACTTTATTTTCTTTCCTTATGTAAAGTCAGAAATTAAAATAAATAAATTTAAAGATGAAAATTTAAAGAACATACCCTCACTCTGCTTTTTAACAGTTTCTTTTTTTAACTGCTTTGCACCGGCAGTTTGATTCGGTTTCGTATTCGCTGAATTTTCGTCATTACCTCTGAGTCCTACAAATGTAATTAATTATTACATTTCTAATTGGTATTGTTTTGAAATAAAAATTTTAGTTTTTATTAATTTTATTGGAGAATTTCACCAGAATTAACCATTATTTTTTATTCACTTCTCATTAATTTCCTATTGCTGAATTAAAAAAAAAAAAAGAAAAGAAAGACTCATCGGAAATTAAATTCAATTACTTTATTTGTTATATCTTAATGACTTCAAGAATAAATATTTCAATAGCTATCCTTAATTTTTAATCAAATGTTTGAAAATTTTTAAAGTAATAAATGTTTCAACAATCCTCAAAAAAAAAAAAAAAAATTATAAATAATTATTCATAGTTAGAATTTGATTTCAAATATCTCATCATTTCTCTAATTCTCAAATGTTATTGATTTGTGTAAACATTATTATTATTATTATTATTATTATTATTATTATTATTATTATTATTATTATTATTGTTATTATTATTATTATTATTATTGCTATTATTACTATTATTATTATTATTATTATTGCTATTATTATTATTATTATTATTATTATTATTATTATTATTATTATTATTATTATTATTATTATTATTACTATTATTATTATCAATTTTTCCTTTTTACCTTCAATTTTACTTATATTTTTACAAAATTATTTATCCATTTAAAGACTATTTCTAATTTTTTGTTATCACTCCGTTAATTATTGATATCATAAAGATAAATCGTCACTATGCATAGAAATATGAAATTGAAATAATGAATATTTAAATAATTGATGTGTTAAATTTATAAATACAAATATTTAAATAATTGATGCGTTAAATTTATAAATACAAATATTTAAATAATTTCAAAAAAATTTTTCGTTTTTTTTTTTCTTTTTTTTTTTGTTAATTATTTGGAATATTTGATATTCAAAGTATTTACGAACTGCTGAATGGTAAACAAATATAAGAACATTTAAATTCCTCAAATAACGGTCCAAATGTATGTTTGTGTATGTATGTATGTGTGTGTATGTGTATGTGTGTATGTGTGTATGTGTGTATGTGTCTGGTGTACCAGTTAGTGTCATCGCCGTATAAAACTAATCATTCTAATAAAATATTGAAAATTGGACCAAAAAAAAAAAAAAATGGGACAAGAAATATTCGAAATAATTTTAAACTTAAAAAAAAAAGAAATTATCAAAATTCTTAAATGAAAATTGAAAATAAAATAAAAATTATATATATATATTAAATAACTTAGAGAAAGGAAAGGGTTCAACTAAAAAATTTATTAGTCAAAGTAAAAAAAACATTAATGATAAAAGAATATTTTAGTATAAATTTTTTTTTTCCTTTTTTATAATCTAATGCTAATTTCAATTGTTATTTTAAAAATTTGCTATCTTTTGTTTGATTTCGAATAAAAATATAAAATTTTTGTTTTATGCATATAAACAAATAAAGAGAAAATACTTTGAAATTTTGACAATTTTCATTGCTAATTAAGTTATTTAATTAAAATTACTGAAAAGAATGAAATTGTTGTAGAAAATAAATGACAAAATGTTAAGCTAAAAAAAAGAAAACGAAAGAAAAAATAAACTGAAGATAAAGGTATACTGTTTACACAGATATTATTGAAGGTATCCCAAATTAAAAGTACCATTAATAAATTTCAGGTAATTTAATACTATTTAAACATTTGCTAAAATTATATTTCATCAGTGAAATGTACTACTACAGTATGCATAATTATAGATAGAAATTCAAATTTACTTTCATTAATTCATTTAGAATAAAAATATTCACTGCTCGCTATTTATTATAATAATAAAACAAAAATTATAAAATGTATTTTTTCACTGAATCAAATTGAATTAAAATAATTCTTTTTTTTTTTTTTCAAAATATTCTTCATAAACAATTTTTTAGCATTTTCTAATAAATTTGAAAAAGGCAAAAAAAATTTAATTCTTATATATTTGAAATGAATTTGAAGTTTAAAAAAATGGAATAAATTAATTTTCGAAAATTTCGCTTACATTTGATTAAAATAAGTCATAATAGTATCAAAGATATGAAATGAGAGAAATAATATTGGTTTAGTAACATTGAAATTGTCATCCATCTAATAAAATTTTTATAAAAATCAACTAAATTTTAGAAATTTATATTAAGAATTTCCGGAAATTATAATAATTCATATGCAATATTAATACTGCAATTGTTTCACAATTAAAATTTAATTCCTTTTCGTATTCACACACATAAACATATAATATAAATGTAGAGAAAGATACGAAAATTTTAATAAATTCAAAATGGTCATTATTCTAATTTTTTTTTTTAATTTTTAAGTTTAAAATTGTTATTTTTTTTTAATTTTTAATTTTAAAATTCTTATTTTTTTATTTTTTTAAAAATGCTTAATCAATGAATTTATTTTATCAAATAAAAGGTAGAAATTAAATAAAATAATGATAAAATGAAAAAATAAATTTTACCAGGAGGACGATAAATTTGGAGTGCGGGTCGGGTTGAGGGTCTCTTGGAACGGCGTTCAGAATGCATTACTATTCCTGTTGTTGTTGTTGTTGTTGTTGTTGTTGTTGTTGTTACTTGTCATTAATTTATTGTTTAAAAAATTTTTTATTTTCTTTCTTTTAAAATTTCCTTTATACCACCAGCCTTCCGCCCTGAAACAATAAAAAAAATGAAAAAGAAAAAAATTATAATTTTTATATTTTGTTTTTTCCTTGGAAATAATTAATTAAAATTATTAATTAAATCGCAAAAATGATAAAATCATAAGATAAAAAGTGATAATTACTACTATACAAATACATATAAAGAGAGAGAGAGAGGAAAGAGAGAGGGAGAGAGGTAGAATGCTAAAGCAACCAATGCACCACCGGTAAATTTCACCAAACAGAAAAACCGGAAACCTCTCTTCGCCTCTCTCCGTTTCTCCTCCTCTTTTACTTTTTTTTGTTTCTTTTAAGAAATTTTTTTCTTTTTTTTGAGGTATGTATTGAAATTAAATTTTGAATTTAAATCCCTTTCCATACACACACACACACACACATACTTTCTGTCTTCTGCTTTTTTCAAGCAATTTATGGTAAAATTTGATTATATCAAAAAATTTTTCAAATTCAAATCTACTTTACTATCTTTCTGTTTTTCTTTCACCCTCTCTCTCTCTCTCTCTCTTTCTCCCCTTCCCTCTCTTTTATTTTTATCATTAATTATAATAAATAGACATCCATCCTATTATCTATTACATTTTCAATTCTTATCCATATCAACAGCCATCATTATCGTTATCATTATCATCACCATTATCACTGCCATTATCATTATCATCATTTTTAATACTTAACACACTGATAAGTGATATTAAAAAAAAAAGGTTGTATAATCGGATTGAACGATGAAAGAGAGAAAGAAGGAAAAGGAAGGATGTAAGATGTGACAATGAACTTAAAAAAAAAAAAAAGCTGAAATCGTTTGATTGAAAATATGCAAATTATTCGAGAAAAAAAAGATGAGAGAGAGAGAGAGAGAGAGAGAGAGAAACAAAAGAGAAGAAATTAACAGTGTGATAAAAATCGTTCTTAATTTTTACTTTTTTTTTTCTTTTTTCCTTGTTTTTTAATAGAAATAAGGAAGTATTAAAATTGTCATTCGTATCTTTTTTCTTTTCCCTTATCAGTAAAAACTATTTTTTTTTTTTAATATCATTTTCAACAGATAATTTAAATAAAATGATTGAGAAAGATGATAAGAAGAAAAATTTTGTTATGGTTGAAAAGACAAAAAAAAAACCTTTTGAAAAATAAAATTAACAATATTGGAAAAGATTTTGAAAAAAAAAAAATGTAAATATTTGCTACAATCAGGAATTTTTTTCTTTAATTTTTTTTTTTTTGCAGCTTCTAAAAATCTTGGAAAAAAAAACGGAAGAAATTAAATTTCTTTAATTTTTTTTTTTGTTTTGCAGCTTCTAAAAATCTTGGAGAAAAAAGGGAAAAAATTAAAAAAAAAGAGAAAAAGAAAGAGATGAAATTAATAAAATTAACAAATTTGAAGTAAAACTTTAAATGAATTGAAATGAACTAAAACTGAATAATTTATTAGAGTAAATATGTTATGAAGTACAAAATTGAAGTAATTTAAAATGTAAAATATATACATTGTGAAAGAAATTATTTCAAATATTTCAAATAATTATCATTTATCATTTTTTTTTTTTGTTCCACGCAATATTTTAATCAAAAATATTTACAATTAAATATTCTTTTCTCCACTATATGCTTTTTTTTAAAAAAATATATATTATTTGTTTAGTGTTATTTGTCAAATAGTAGTGAATAAATTTTTTTTTTTTTTGTTGCGATTTTCACTTAATATTTACCTGAAGAAAAGAAATTTATCATTTATTGATGACATAAGACAAAAATGTTTACTAAGTGAAAAAAAGAAAGATGAAAAAATGATTTCAGCTAACAAAAGTTAAGAAATAAAAAAAAAAGCAACAATTTATATTCTTTTCCCTAGCAGTACTGTAGTTTTTCAATTTGTAAAGAATAAAATTAGAAAATATATTGACAAAATTAACAAGTTAAAATAAATTATAAAAATCTTCGATATTTATATATTTTTTTTTTAATTTTGAAAAACAGCAAAAAAAAAAAAAAGAAAAATTTTTCCTGCTATGAAAGTGTTATTGATTTAAATGGGAAAAAAGAGGAAAAAAAAACCAAAGAGAGAAGAGAAAAAGAAATTAGAAATTAATTAAAATGATACAAATTAATTTTAAGCTTTTTTTTTTACCACTTCAAACAAACTGATTTACATAAAAAAAAAAAAAAAAAAAAAAAAAAGTGGCAATAGCAAGAATAGCAATTTTCAGTTAATAATAGCAAATACGGTAAACATTAAACGGTAACAATAACAATAACAATTGACAATAATAGCAATTAATGACAACATAATAATAATAATAATAGTAATAATAGTAGTAGTAAATAATAATAGTGATGATGATAATAGTAATAATAATAATGGATAACAATAGTGATAATGATTAACAACAATAAAAATAATAATAATAATAATAATAATAATAATGCCGGTAATGATAATAATACAATAATTTTAAAATAAAAAGTATGAAATAATTTCGACTGAGTAATACGAACCGTTATTACAATCTGTCATGATCACGATAATTATCATCATCATTAACATCATTATCACTATCACTATCATTACCGATGTTATTATGGTCATCAATGAACAGCGTTATATTAATTAATATTAGTTTAATAAATGTTTAGACATTATCTCAACTTTATTAGTGGTATTTAAATAAAAATATTTGAATAAAAAGACAGAAAAAGCGGACGAATGAGAATGAAAAAGAAGTAAACAAATTAAAATGCTTTAAATAATTTCTTTAATGCTTGTGATTGAATATTTTCATGAGATTATTACTGATTGTTGAATAATTGATCAGTTCTAATCAGTACTTATCTCTTATTATCATCTCATAATTACTTCAATTAAAATATCACTTTACAAAATTTATATAAATGATCAGTTGTAAGGTGTGTGATATGTTTTAATGCAACTCTGATATGATTAGTGCAATATCAAACTGATTAAATAAACTGATTAAATTGATAAGAAATAAGTTATAATTTAAATAAAATATCAAATGAGGAAGATTAAAATTTTATGTATTATTATTATTCCATTCTTTTCTTCATCACATCTAAATTTACATAAACTATTTATTTCAATTTGTGAAATATTCACGCGTTATAATTAAATTTTGTCGATTTTTTAATAAATTAAAAGCGAAGTTTTCCAAATAACATATTTTCCACAATGTTTTTCAATGATGAAAATAATCATTTGAATAATTTAGAAGAATTTTTCAACAATACTAATAAATATTGAACAAAAAAAGACTTAAAATTTTATCAAAAAATTCAAAATATTTTGCAAAAATAATGGCAAAAGTATGGATGAAATAATATTTGCATATTTATGTAGAGCAATAATTTGTAATTAAATAATTTTTCAATTTAATTAAGAATTATTTTGAAAGTGAATAATTATGAGAAAATTTAATGAGTGATATCTTTTATCAAACAAAAATTAATGACATCATATATTTATTATGAAGATCTCGATTTGTCGAAAAAAATTGAAAAATTTTTCCATGAAAGAAATAACAAAAGAACTGATAAATTCACAGATTAAAAAATAATTTCACGTAAACATAAATAACAATCGTAAACATAAAAAAAATATAATTTTAAAAAAAAGTATGCAATTAACGACGGATCAATGATTATTCATTATATTATGATAAAAGAAATTTTTCTTGACAAAAACTAATATTAGCAAATTTTAACTAATTAATTATTTTCTTAATTATCTGCTGCTAAAATTTATTCTTTTTATAAATTTCAAATTAAAAATAATTTCTAATAACATAAAAAACATTATAAGAATTCAGCAGTTTATACTAATTTTATTAAAATAAAACATCATGTAAAAATTTATTTAATTCTTCCCAATATTATTAATAGCTTATTATTATTATTAATAGCTTATTATTAAGCTAATTAAGTTTAATAAATTAGATATGATAAGCATAATTGATAAATCCAAATGAAATATCTCAAAAATCTCGAAAAAAAATGAACAAACTAAAAAACATGGAAAAGTATATTTTTCAATTGATTAATTGATGAAATATTTAATTGAAAAAAAAAAAAAAAAAAAAGAAAGTAAAAAAAATTAAAAATTAAATGAAGTAAAATTAAATTTTATTACCTTATATCATATAAAGACGGAACAAAAAAGGAAAGAAAATGTTTAAATTAAATAAAATTGATAAATAATTTTAAACATTCATAAATTCGTTTCTTTTTTAAAAAGCAAAATTTATTGGAATCAATAATCTTTGTGAAAATGAATTCGTAATTCGTTTTCTGTTGCATCTTTTTTTTAAAAAAAAAAAAAAAAGGAAAAGGAAAAAAGATAATAAAAAAGAAAAATGAAAAAATTTGAAAGTAAGAAGAAAAAAATGACAAAATGCAGATTGAAATTTTAAATCATTTTTCAATCAATTTTCACTTTTGCAATAATTTTGTTCTTTTTTTCTAACCATCTTTACTTCAACAATTTCCTTCCTTTCCTTCCTACCTATTATCCTTCATTTCATTGCTATTTTAAAATTTAAAAATTTTTAAATTTCAAATTGATTCAATGCACTTCATATTCTGATAATGAAATTTGTACATTTCATTGGTACTACCATTCAAAATTTATTGACATTGTATGTGTATACAATAGTTTTTTCTTTTTTTTTAAATTATAATTTAATTAAGTTGTTATCACAAATTATCAATTAAAAAATCATTTATAAAATAATACATGAAAAAACTTTTTTAGTAGCAAAACAACCAATTCAAAATTAAATTATCGAAAATAATAAAATTTAAATTTTCAATTAATCGATTGTAAATTATTAGTGAAATTATGTAATAAAT